AGAATTCCCCAGCCAGCATTCGCTGGCTGGGGAATTCTGGGAGTTGAAGTCCTGACATCTTCAAGTTGCCAAGGTTGAAAAACACTGCTCTAAAGCACAATGGAACAGTATATAAGTCTTAAGTGCAACAAAGATGATTAGGGGACCGGAGGCTTAAACACATAAAGAACAGTGCTGGAATTGGGTATGACTAGTTTAATGAAAAGAAGGACCAGGGGGTGACATGATAGCACAGTGATGGCGAACCTTTTTCACCTTGGGTGCCAAAACCACTAGTGTGTGCTATTGCGCATGAAGTTCCCGAACTTCCTTTTCGCGCGTTGGGCAGTTTTTCATCCTCCGGAGGGCGAAAAACAGCCCAATGCACAAACCGGAAGTCCATTCCCAAACTTCCGGTTGGCAGGTTGGCCAGATTTTCACCCTCTGGAGGCTTCAGGGAAGCCTCCGGAAGGTGAAAAATGGCCGAAAATCAAGGCTGAAAATCAGCTGGTGTGCAACACCTCGCCTGCCCTTAGAAATGGTTTCATGTGCCACCTGCGGTACGCGTGCCATAGGTTCACCATCACGGTGATAGATTGTTCCAATATGTTGGGCTGCCACAAAGAAGAGGGAGTCAAGCTATTCTCCAAAGCACCTGAGGGCAAGAAGATGCGATGGATGGAAACTGATCAAGGAGAGAAGCAACTTAGAACTGAGGAGAAATTTCCTGACAGTTAGAACAATTAATTAATTAAACAATTAACCATTGCCTCCAGAAGTTGTGAATGCTCCAACACTGGAGGTTTTTAAGAAGAGGTTGGACAACCATTTGTCTGAAGTGGTGTAGGGTTTCCTGCCTGAGCAGGGGGTTGAACTAAAGGACCTCCAAGGTCCCTTCCAACTCTGTTATTCTATTATTCTGAACTAGAGATCAGATCTGAAGCAACACGTTCAGGCTGCTATTTGTTGCAAGAATACACAAGGTCACTCAGCAGCTCTGGACTGAGGAATGTGTCCTTGTGTTTTAGGCAAGGAGGTTGGGGAGACTGTGCTGTATTTTGGCTGCCGGCACGAGAAGGAGGACTACATCTATAAGGACGAACTTGCCAAATTTGTCAAAGAAGGAGCCCTTACTCAACTCAATGTCGCTTTCTCAAGGGACCAGCCAGAAAAGGTAAGCCTGCTCCACTCTAAAACGTTTCCATAATCCATGGGCATTTTCATTCACTTGTCCTGTTGGGTTGGGTCTGCTTAAAAAATGGACTGTTTGTATGTTTTGTGCTGGGAAAATCTTCTGTTGAGAAAAAAAAAGCAAATAATGCCTGAGTTTTTCATAATTCTAGAAAATGTTGGTAAAGGCATTTTTTTAACCCCTTCCCTGCTATCTGTCTGGTTCACCTGATTTTTGGACCAGGCATTTTTTTTTATTTTTTCAAAAACACTTTTATAGTCCTCATAACGTGTTGCCCTGAAAATACTCAGAAAATAAGTCAGAAAATAAATAAACCAATTTCGTTGTATTTAAGTACAATGACAATAAAGATTATACTTAAGTCCTAGCTTGATTTTTACATATGCTCCCAATATAAGCCCTACCCTGAAAATAAGCCCTAATTAAGACCCCCGCCCACTCCAGGTACACAAGTAAAAATTAAGCTAGGGTTGGGAAAGTGGTAGTGGAGTTGTCCTACTACTTACCTTTGGACAGTTGCAGCCAGGCCTCGCACACCTTGGCCCATTTTTTCTACCAGAAAGCTTTCCTGAAAGCCTCTGTAGCCGAAAACAGAGCTCTGGATCAATCCGGAGCTCTGTTATCACTACAGAGCAGAGGTGGGTTGCTGCCGGTTTGATCCAGTTTGGCTGAACCGGTAGTGGAATTCAGGCCTGGATCACAGATCCGGCAGTGCCCCAGGCCTGACATGCCCCCGAACCGGTTCCCTCACTGCCACTTGGGTGCTGCCATTTTGAATTTTAGTGACTGCACATTTGCAGTTCACTGTAAATTGTTTTGCACATAGAGCAATTTACATTGTACAGTGCATGCGCACAGTGTGCATCTGGCACGTGCATGTTGTGCGCGGGTTGTGAACCAGCAGTAACGGCGGCAGCAACCACCCTCGCTACAGAGGCCTTCAGGAAAGCGTTGCCGGCAGAAGCCTTGCTGGCCTTGCCCAATTGAGAAGTTCCTGAAGGCCTCTGAATGGGGAAAAGAGCCCAGGTGTGATACACGCAAGTATGTGAGTGCGACATCCCCCCCCCCCCGGAAAACAAGACCTGGTGCCTTTTTTGGTGGGAAAAAAATAAGACAGGGTCTTATTTTCGGGTAAACAAGGGTATCTATATCTACCTTTAAAAATAAGTAGATGCCAGTTTTTATGGTGAAGGAGACATAATCAGAGAATATACACCAGCTGTTAAGACCCCTTTGACACCCAATTTTGTATCTTTCAGATTTATGTGCAGCATTTGCTCAAAAAGAACAAGGAGCATGTCTGGAAGTTGATCAGTGAAGGAAATGGTCACATCTACGTGTGCGGGTAAGGATGGCAAGGCTCTTTTCGTTCACAGGTTATCTTGCAGCAGTGAGCAGTCAGAAATTGACTTGAAAACAAGCAATTAGCAATTTTGCCCCTGGGGCAGAACAGTTGGAAAGAAAACAGAAGATGCAATGCTAGATGGAAATTCTGGTATTAATAATGATATCTGAGGGTACCATGAAAGGTTAAGTAGCTTGCAAAGTATGTAAATTATCAATATGAATTTGCAGAATTTGCTGAAGAATTTGCCCAAAGCATAAAAATATTCAAAATAATTCAAGTGAAGTGAAGTGGATGACTTCCCTGGATATCTTGACTGAATGTCAATCAATCTCATAACAATATGGCACTCATCTGTCTTCCCACAAACTTCAGTTTTTAACTTCATCAAGAGAACCCTTGATTCTGTTTCAAGAGATAGCCATCTGAGAAGCTTTCTTACGCCATTCCAACCCAGTAGCTGTCCTAGCATCTATCCATGGAGACTGCAGATCCTATCAAAGTGGCTCAGTTGAAGGAATTCTATTTCCATGCCCCAGTCAGAGGACAAATGGCACAATTTGAGGTGGGGGGAGAGCAGCTCAGTTGGGAGTATTTCCTAGCTCTGCCTGGAAATAAGTAGGACTGAAATGGGACTCTCTGCTGGCAATTGGGTGATTAGAGTGCTTTCGTCCCTTAGATCTGTAAAATACCGCTGTCAATGCCCATCTTGTCAATGCCCATCTTTAGATCCTGTTTCCCTCCACAATGTTGAGAGGCAGAATTTTTGTCTGCACCCGAGTCCTCCGAAATTAGCAACATGCCATTTCCCAAAGCTTGCTTGTTGAGGTTTTTTTTTTCCTACCTGGAGTTCTAGCCACTGTTCTTCACTGTCTGACTTTACTCTTTTCTTCTTCCTTCCAGTGATGCACGCAACATGGCTCGGGATGTGCAGAATGCCTTTTACGAGATTGTAGCTGAATATGGCAAGATGGACCACCAGCAGGCTGTGGACTATGTCAAGAAACTGATGACCAAGGGCCGCTACTCCTTGGATGTCTGGAGTTAGGGGGCACTTACTGCAGCAAAGAGGGGTGACTGCAGGTGGCTGATGAAGAGCAGGGCAAGGACTCATCATTCTGCCTCCAGGGAACCATGCATACCTTGACTTTCTCTAGCTCCTACCCATTCCCTGACTGTTCGGCAGGGTGAATTTAGTGGGCTTTGGTTTTCTGTGGCAAGATCTAATCGCATTGAGCTAGACTCTCAGAGCAGTGGAGAAGCACCAGCATGCCTGTCTCTCTCTCTTTCTTTCTTTGGTTGGTTGGTAGCTGCTACAGGACATATCTGAGGGTGGGTTTCCCACCCCTTCCTTACCCAACAGCCCCCCCCTTTTTTTTGAAAAAAAAGGGAACTCCCTTTTTGTCTCATCTCACAGGCATCTGTGCTCTGGTGGAAATGGTGCTTAGATGACCTTGGTCCTTCAAACACTGTCTCTTTTAGCCTTATCATCAACAGGCTGGGGTCCTTCCTGGGCTGTACTGAAGAATACAGTGGCAACGGTTTTCATTTTGGTCAGCAGCTGGTTGTTGGGATTCACGTGGGATGGGCGCCAGGAAAATGTCTGAAGAGGCGGCAGAAGGAATCATTTGGAAGGCAAGTGATAGCAGCAGTGGGTTTACACGAAGAAACCAGTAAAAATGAAGCTCTCATCTTCCTGTGTGGAAGGCATGCTTGGAGGGTGATGGTGGAACTAGATGCTATGCCTCAGCATGGACCAGAGAGGAACCTGCTTGTGATATTTCACTTCCTTTGTTCTTCCCCTCTTGGGGGAAAAACTCATTTTACCTGAATCTGAGCTCTCTCCAAACCACCCCTTCTATTTCTCCCTTGCTTTGTCCCTAACTGAACCAGATCCTACCTAGACTGAGCCTGATCCCATTTCTGATGCCTTCAGTCCCGTGCTCCTGTTCTGGACACAAATTTGCCTCCCGCCGTTTGACTCACCCTGTTGAAGCTGCATTCTGGTGCCTAATGACATGTGTTTGGAAACTGGCCAGGCAGCCTGAATACTGATTGTACATAATTTTAAGGCGACTCGTTCTTGAAATAAAATAACCTCTGATTCTTTTGTTCTGCCTCTTCTGCCTCTTTGTGGACTTTTTTTGGGGAAGGGAGGCTGGAGGTTTTGCAGCTGAAACCATGCTGTTAAAACAGAAGGTGAGGAAGCTTTGCTTCATAGGAACCAAGCTTATTTAGGTAGCCTTCAATTATAATTTAAGTCTCTAGAGCCATGCATGAGACAATGTGTACCTTTTTCCTCGGTAGTATATTTATTTTTGCAATTTGCTTATTGTCTAGTGAACTCAGATGAAAGTGGGAAATGAAGAAAGGATGGATCTGAAAAGTTCCATTACTGTAGTAGTTTGTCTGGGACTTTTTTAAAAAAAAGGGTATATCCCTCCAGAAGGCAAGCATCTGCTGGTTAGAAGGTAGTGCTTCTAGCCTTAGTCACAACAGTCTGGTATTTGGAGAAATGAACACCCTCCACTTGGAATTATATTTTGCCTTTCTGGTGAACATCTGTGAGTAGACTGCCTTTGCCATGTTGCCTTCCTCTTAAAAAAGACATCTAAAGCTCATTGTTGCAGATTCCACAAATAGCCTGTTCTTCATATTCCTGTTTCAGGACTCCCGTCTCATGCTCAATCACAAATATATTTTTCTTCAGTACTCTTTGGCCTTTCTTGCTACTTTAAGGTATTTATAACTACCTAGTTCTAGATGACTCAACAGTGAAGAAATCACCACCACCACCCTCACCATAAATAAGCAAATCCAAATGAAGAACCAACGGGGATAATGAAGAAAAGCCAAGGTAAAATCCCAAATAAAAGCCAATATAAGCACTCCCTCTTTGGACTGAAATAGCAATAGCAAATAATAAGACTCATATGTACCACTCCATAATGCTTTGCAGTTGTCCAACCTTTCCAGCTTTATCAACCGGTGGGGGAAGGACTGGGAATAGTTCTGTGTGAGTGACAGGCAAGCACGCTTATGTGGCCAGTTCAATGCCCATTGCCCACTTCTCGGACTGGTTCCAAAAGGCTCAAGGCCTGGTAGTGGGTCACAGCTTCAAGGTCGGGGACCCGTTTACAGCCCTCTCTAAGCAGTTTNCTGTTTATTTTAGTCATTGCATTCCTCTCCCGCCTTTTCTCTGAGAGCTCGAGACAGCATATCTGAGTTATCTTGTCTCATCTTCCAAACAACCACCCTGTGAAGCAGTTTGGGCTGATAAGAGTGATGACAGTGACGGATTTAGAGCCAAGCCTGGTGAGCCATCTGGTTAAGTTGAGGCTTGAATTAAGAGTCTCCTTGCACCGAATTGAATATCTTGACCACTTCATTACTCCGGCCCTAAATGCATGTGCCCAATGGCTTTTGTGTCTTGCTTTAAGGCTTCCCTAAAACAGTTGTTTGATGGCTGACTTTTTGGGTTGAGAACCTAGGATCCCTTGCTAGGTGAAGCTTCAGTCCGTTTTTGCTTGTATCTCCTTGTATAATTGCTGTAAATCATCATAGTCATCCGGTTATGGCCACCCACTCCAGCAGACCTTGAGCAGCTTACAAAATCCATATTTGATTTATCTGTGAATGACTTTTTTGCAAACCATTTCATGTTGATCTCTTTTGTAATCAAAAACATGTCTAACATTGTAATCTATTGCCGTTGCCAATGGGTCATAATGGAACTGTAGTTCCTTTGTCAACATCTTGATAGTGTGACCAAGGGCATCTGATTTGAATAGTTTGGCTGACTCTCCTTTTAACAGATTAACTCAGAATCAATCCGTGCCTCATATAAAAGCCCTTGGTGAGGAAGAAAAATAACTTTTCAAAGGACAGAATCTAACCATGCTGCCGATGCAACCCCAAATAATCTTTTCACTCATAGCCAAATTGGAGTAAAAGTCTTCTGCATTGTCCTGGCTTTGGCACGCTTCCATTTAAGTGTATTGATTTAAGCAGGAATCTGAATAAAGTGAACTTCTCCATCTAAATACAGGTAGTCCTCGACTTGCAACCATTTGTTTAGAAACTCTTCAGAAGTACAACAGCACTGAAAAATATCTTACACACTTTAGGACCATTACAACATCCCCAGAGTCATGTGAGGAGCCCCGGTAGCGCAGTGGTTAGAATGCAGTATTGCAGGCTAACTCTGTCCACAATATAGAGCTTGATCTTGATAGGGCTTCATCCTTCCAAGGTTGTTGGGGGCAATATGCTGGCATTGTAAAAGGCTCAGAGAGTGCTCTAAAGCAGTGTTTTTCAACCTTGGTAACTTGAAGATGTCCGGACTTCAACTCCCAGAATTCCCCAGC